CCATTAAATTTATTGTATGTCACAGTGGCTTTTGTTGTTTTCTATTTGTTTGATTTTGCTTTTGGAGACAGGGTCTCATGTAGTCCCAGCAGACCCAGTGATGTTATTTAGCTAAGGATGGTCTTCAACTCCTTTTCCCCCTGTATTCTCTGCCCAAATGCTGGCATGTGCTACCAGACCAGACCTCAGTGGCTTAGATACATAGATAATAGATAGAGATGATAGATAGATAGATAGATAGATAGATAGATAGATAGATGATAGATATAGACAGATAGATGATAGATATAGATAGATGATATCTAGATGGTAGGTAGATAGATAGAGGTTTTTTGTTTTTGTTTTTTGTTTGTGTTTGTTTGTTTGTTTTTAAGAGAGGAAGGGTAGGTTTATTGTGACTTACAGTCAGCAGGATAAAACCCACCAGAAGATGCGGCAGTATAAGCATTTGTCACATTGGGTCCTCCATCAGGAAGCAGAGGGAGGATGAGTAATCCACAGTGGCTTTTAAAGGGACTTAAAAGCTAAGTCTGGAAATCCTCCAAGGTGACTATGACTTTAGAACCAAAACAGCCCCCTAGTAAAAATGATTTCTCTGAAATATTTCCTGTAGAGAATCCCTGTGGATTTACTTAGAATTTGATTGCCAGTGACATTCAGGCATTGTCAGGGGTCAGACTACGTGCCTCTGAGTCTCTAGTAAGGCATATGGGAGCTTTTCTCTTCTGTTTCTAGGTGATGCTATGAGCAGAGATGAGAGGCGCCCTGAGGAAGGTGTATTTCCTTACATTCAGCTCAATTCCAGGAATCCTGTTGGAAGGATGTCCTAAGGAGGGCGGAAGGTATTGTAGAAGCCGTGGATTTCTTAGACGTTCGGAACACTGAGAAGATTCACAGGTACCCAATGAGACACTTAATCCATAAAAGTGAATATGTGAGGTGTAATAGAAAGTGTAGCATAGGCTTTGAGATAAGAATCCTTAAAGTTAGGCCAGACACACCTTTAATCCCAGCACTTGGAAGGCAGAGTCAGGTAGATATCTGTGAGTTGGAGGCCAGACTGGTCTACAGAGCGAGATCCAGGACAGGCAGAGCAACACAGAGAGACCCTGTCTCAAAAAGCAAACAAAAAACTGTCCTTCTAGTTTGATAAAAACTTCCAACACTGGAGATCACTGTTAAATACTCTCTGTGAGGCATGGTTTCTCATTTGGGAGACATAGGCGATACCCCTATTCTACAGAGGAGCAAGATAATATATATGACAATTTCAGTAGCTTCTCCGTAAGTGACAACCATTGCCATCATTGGATAGATAGATGTCCAACCTGGAGATGTTTGCATATTACCTCCATGGCTTTGTAGAGTCACAAATTGTTTATTGTGTATCTACAGTGAGCCAGAAATATGCTAGCTATCACGATGGAGCACCGGCTGGGCAAGTGACAAAGAGGCACCTGTTTTTATGGCCTTTCTATCCCAGGAGAGAAAATGGGCATCTAACCAAAATGCTTAGGCAGAAAATTCGGAAGATGGGCAAAGCTGCAGCGGTTCGAGCCTTATGTGTTCCTCTTATTGTGCCTCTGGCTTTGCCCTGTTTCCCTTCTTAGGGGTGGTAGGGAAATGTCAGCAGAAACATATGGCAGAGATTTTATAGCAACAATTATTTTTAATTTTTTTTTTTTTTTTTTTTTTGGTTTTTCGAGACAGGGTTTCTCTGTGTAGCTTTGCGTCTTTCCTGGAACTCACTTGGTAGTCCAGGCTGGCCTCGAACTCACAGAGATCCGCCTGGCTCTGCCTCCCGAGTGCTGGGATTAAAGGCGTGCGCCACCACCGCCCGGCTGTTTTTAATTTTATGGCCTGAAGGAAAGTGATGGCACATGTCTATCATCCCAACACTCCAGAAGCTGAGGCAGGAGGATTGCTTCATGTTTGAGGACAGCCCAATCTACATAGCAAGAATTCTGAGCCAGCCAGGGCTACAAATCAAGACACTGCCCCCAAAACAAGCTTTGCCCCCAACCGCCATCAAAACAGCCAACTAAATGTGAACCATTCAGCATTGTTTGTTTGTTTGTTTTGAGACAGGGTTTCTCTGTGTATCCCTGGCTGTCCTCAAACTCAGAGATCCACCTGCCTCTGCCTCCCGAGTGCTGGCCATGACACTCGGCTGGCCATTCAGTATTTTAATCAGCATTCTTATTTTGATACTAGAATATTCACTGGGTAGCACAAGCAGAAAGGAATTTGCTAGGGTATACAGATAATTCAGAGGCTGTTGGGAAAACTGAGAAAAAAAAATTTAGGCTGAGTTGCCAAGAATAAAATCAAAGGATTGAGAGTAAGGGTCACTTCTATGTGGATCAGGAAGCTGCAGAACCAAGAGGCTGCAGCCTCATATGCCAAGTGCAGACCTCCAGTTCTGTGCTCCTACCCGCATCCTGTCTCTTCCCCAGCGACACTCAGTTCTGAATTAAGTCTCCTATGAGAGCATGTAGTTGGGTGAATCTAAGTCACACACAGAATTTCACCATATACAAGACCTGCCACAGCACAGCTAGAAGGACCTGGAAGGAATAACAAGATCTGTCACAAGAGTGACCAACAAGGACCAGGGTCATCCATTGTACTCAGGCTCCTCCTGAAAGACCAGATTCTCAGAGTTGGAAAGAGGGCATTATGGGTAAACCATTCACCATGAAAAACATGGGCAGCGCTGCTGTTTAGATCCCCAGGCAGCACAGACATGCCAGGTGGGCATGGTGAACAGCCCGTAACTCCAATACTCTGAAGCAGAAACAAACAGATCCTCAGATCAAGCTGCTTAGCTAGACTAGCATCCAATTGCAGGTTCAAGACAGACCATGCCTCAAGGAATATGGTAGAGCGCTGCTGAGAAAGACTCTTCCCATCAGCTTCAGACACCTGTGCATTCATGTGCACACTAGTGTGCTCACACAAATGTGTGCCCCCCACGAGTGTTTACACACACACACATCATATACTTTTGCAAACACACACACACACACACACACACACACACACACACACACACACACACACACACACACGACCAGATTCTGCTTTACCCTCAGCATGTACCCTGGGTCCACTGTCGTGGAGCTGGCCTTTTTAGCTGATTATAGTGTACTTCAGTGGAACCTCTGAAGAGATTAAGCAACTCTCTTGCTCCTACATTTCTGTTTTCTTCCAACACCTGGGATAGGTGGTGTATAGAGCAAACACTGTCCATTTTTCCCGATACAGTGTGGAATTGCATTCCTGATTCTGCCATGTGCCAGTTAATGTGACTTGCAGGTGTTGCTGAGGACATGGATACAGAAATGGAATGTGACGTCTGTGGCAGATCCTCTGATTAGCAGATAAAAAACCAAGATGATGGTGGTCGGGGGAGAGGCGGGCTGGGATTGTTTCAAATGGTAGAAAAGCCAAAAAGCCAATTATTTTGTATAAATTTATAAACAATAGCCACCCCCTCCTTTCTCTCCTTTGTCTTCTCCCCTCCTCCCCCATCTCCTCTCCTCTCCCCTCCCCTCCTCTCCCCTTCCCTCCCCTCCTCTCCTCTCCTGTCCTCTCCTCATTCTCCTCTCTGTTTTCTCTCTCTATCTTCCCTTCCTCTCCTGTTTCCTCTCTCTCTTCCCTCTGTGTTTGTTTCCCCCTGTCTCTCCTTCCTCTTTTCCCCCACTCTCTCTCCCTGTCTTCTCTCTCTCTGTGTTCTCTCTCTCTCTCTCTCTCTCTCTCTCTCTCTCTCTCTCTCTCTCTCTCTCTCTTCCCCACCCTCTGTCTGTGTGTGTTTGAAGGCTATATTTTTTAAAGAATAAGTTAGAGTATGGTAATTGTGGCTTATTAAACTTCTTCTTCTTCTTCTTCTTCTTCTTCTTCTTCTTCTTCTTCTTCTTCTTCTTCTTCTTCTTCTTCTTCTTCTTCTTCTTCTTCTTCTTCTTCTTTTTTGCCCAAGACTGAAAACACTTCCCAGAGAGGGAGACTTTCAGCACTGAGACAGTCCTGTGAAACTGGATGGGTGAAACTGGATGGGCACTCATCCTAACTGGTCCCTAAGAGTTTTGGTGGCTTGTAGCTTGTGACTTGATGCTTCCAGGCATCACATAGGGTTGTAGACCTTTTGTCTATGGAATCAGGAAGGATGCCGTCTGCTTTTTAGGAAATCTGTCACCAGCATTTAAAAGCAAGAAGATTTTACCAGGACTAAAGGGATCAAATTCTTCCTGATAACACCACATAACTTAGGAGTGCTGGGTTTTCTTACAGATAAGCTATAATTTTAGATCAGAAGTCCATCCAGTTTCTCACTCTCTGTTGTCCTATTAGTTGCCTTTTCAAAAAACATTGTGCTTGGGGCTATTGATTTTCTTTTAATTGAAAAACATGAAGGTTTTACACAGTTCCATAAAATAAAAAAACTCACCACGAGAAGGGCATGTATTTTAATCAAGTGAGGAATCCAGATTTTTGACCCTCTTTTGACCTTTGTATCCTGTCTAACCCATGGGTTTAGATCTGTGGTCTAACTCCAGAGAAGGTCATTTTCCTGATTGGTCTCTTATGGAGATTATCTTACTTCAAAGAGAATACAGGATGCTCCTTTAGATCTTACAGTGTCTTATCATATATTTTCAAATAAATATACAGGCATGAAAAACACTCACCATTATAAAATGAATAAATGTGCCGGGCAGTGGTGGCGCACGCCTTTAATCCCAGCACTCGGGAGGCAGAGCCAGGCGGATCTCTGTGAGTTCGAGGCCAGCCTGGGCTACCAAGTGAGTCCCAGGAAAGGCGCAAAGCTACACAGAGAAACCCTGTCTCGAAAAACCAAAAGAAAAAAAATAAATAAATAAAAATAAAATGAATAAATGGTCAACACAAGGCTGCATAGAATTTCTACATGACTTTTCTTCATTTATAATATAAACTACAAAAAATATGTAGAAACAGGTAAAAAAAACAAAGCCCTGAAGGATAGCCACCATTTATTGATCCTCAGAAAGGGAGGAGCCTTCCCTGTCACATCTATCTTGCGTTGTGATCTCCCATATACAAACTTTTCAGTGCTTAGTTGAAAATGAAATACCAAATTCCCCAGGTGTTGTCATTAAACCGCACATTGCTAGTATTTCTATTCACACAAAGAGTTCAGGGGATGAAGATTCCAAGTGCATAGACCAAGACAGAAAAGTGGTTTGTTTTTTTAAGAGTCACAGAGTAAAATTTTAACTTTGAAGGCCATGTGATTTCTGGGATATCTTCCCATCTTTGCAGTGGGGGTGGGGAGGGACGAACAGGAGCTGGTAAACCAACAGGGTGAACATGTGTCAATCACACTTTGTAGACAATGCCATTTTAATTTCCTATCATTTCAGTGTTCAGGGGATATATGTTCTGACATTTTCTCAACATTGAAAAACTATAGAAACCTTTCTTATCTCATAGACCATATGAGAACACAGAGCAGGGCAGATCTACTCCCCTGGCTCCAACTTTTCAGCCCCTCTCATAGGTTGTCCATATCTCTCCCATTGTGGACTGTGGACCAAGGGGTCCTGACAAGCTCACAGAAGTCACCCATGGGGTTAGGGATACAGTCTCTTCTGAGATGTGGATATCATTATGTCAAGATGGTAAAGACGCAAAGCTAGGCGGTATCCATGGTGACAGTGAGCTGTAGATTCACATGGAGTCAGGAAAGCGGCACGCTTGAAATGACTTTCCCAAATAATGTCCCCACTGGAAAGTTGTAATTCTTAGAATGCAGCATAAAAACTCACTTTGACTGAGGGAAAATTAATAGTGCAGATGGGCTCACAGCATCATTCATCAGGATGCTATGTCGTTGATGGGTGGTTTGTACGGACTATAAAATTGATGGGCTGCCTTTCATAAGCTATAATCTTTTTGCCTTAATAATGCATAGAGAGAGGAAATTATGGGTTCTAGGAGTGACAGAAGTCTCTTAGCTTTCCCCCTAGAGAGATGAGTAGTTGGGACCAAAGATGCACAAGATTAGGGTTAGTTTTTAGGGAGACAGTTCTGTCTTATTTACTTGCAAGGAAAAAACTCTTACATGAAGAAATGGAATACTGTAGGTTCCATTTTACCCTTCCCAGTGTTTCTCAGCAATCCTAGAAACCACATGATTAGGAAACATTATGGGATAGGCACCTGTGCCTCTTCAGGTCTTCCTGACATTTAACTACTATGTCCATACGGAGGCTGTGATTTATCTAAGATGCTGTCATTACAGAATGAAGTGTCCTTCTGGTTTAGGGCCAGCATTCCAGCCACTGTTGGGAGCAGGGCTCTTTCAAGGTCTGGTTGATGATATAATGATCATCAGGAGTGCCTTGGGGCTTCCTCTCCACATCCTACCCCCTGAGATAGCTCTGCCTGTGGTTCCCTTGACTCTGCCACATCCTCAGCCTGGGGCTTTTCCTCCTTCCCCCTTCTTTTGAGGCCTGTAGATTCCCTGGCAATAGCCTGTGCTCTCACTTTCTCTCTGTTCTTCAACAACCTTCAGTTCTCCCAGATGTTAGCAAAGATAGAATCTTCCAGAAACTTCTGACTCAGTCTTCCCAAAAGCCTCTGAGGGGGGCCTATACCAAGAGACAGGCCAACTTCTAGCGACAGAGCAAGAAGAAAGCACTATGTGGCATCTCGTTAAACCACTCTGCTATGCTCAAAGGTGGGGAGCTACAGGTCCACAAACATAAGCTGCTTTGAGAATAATCAGTGGAATCAAGAAGCCAGGGGGACAGAAAGTTGCTGCTGTGAAAGGACTGTAGTCATGTCTACCCTTCCCCGCAGCCAGCACTTGTAGTAGCCACTAGAAAAAATAACTGTGTTGTGGCTCTTGAGACCAGCACTAATTTGAAGCACAAGAGTCTCAATAAACTCCCGTCAGGCACTCACACCCCACACTCTGCATCACTCAAAATTCTTCTCTTGTCCCCAACCTCAGCTGGGGACAATTCCAGTTCCAGATGTGATGACTGCACTGGCAGCTGTTCCGGACCTCCAGACTGACCAGGGAGCCTATCCTCGTAAGGATCCTACATTTCCTATTCCCACTTCAGGGTGTAGCTGCTTCCTCATGCCGTTAGTACTCATCTTTTGTGATATTGACTTACTATTCCAGGCGTGTGTGATCTTATCACATCCCACAGGACCAGAATTCTTCTCTTAGCTGCAAACTGGTCCAATTTCCTAATGAAAGAGTCTTCCAAGCGAACTTCTCCTTTTCTCTACCCATGAGTTTATCGTGGCCTTTTACACCTTGTGACACTGGATTCTTGACTAGATTCTCAAAAGTTGGCTTGTCTTTGCATATAGTGACACTCAATTCCAGAGACCCAAATCTTCAGCCTCCAGCAGAGTCCCCTGGAAGACCTGTGAAAGCAGAATGCTGTATCCCCATGCCGAGTCCCCTCCTGTCAAGTTTCTGGCCTTCAGTGCTACCATGAGGGTGGGGGACCTGAAGGATTTCCTGTCATTTTCCTCTCTTCTGCCTCTTCTGTTCTTGCATGCATCCTATAGTCCTAAGGATGTTAGGTAAGCACTCCACCACTGAGCTCTATCCTTAGGCCAAATATGCATGTCTGACATGTTCATGGGTAATTCTGGTGATCACAGCAAGCCCACTGTGGTGGTTTGAAAGGAAATGGCCCCCCACAGGGAGTGGCACTATTAGGAGGTGTGGCTTTATTGGAATAGGTGTGGTCTTGGAGGAATTGTGTCACTGTGGGGGTGGGCTTTGAGGTCTCCTATGCTTAAGCTATGCCCAGTGTGGGAGACAGTTCACTTCCTGTTGCCTGGGGATCAAGATGAAGACCTCTCAGCTCCTTCTCCAGCACCATGTCTGCCATACCGTCATGTTTCCTGCCATGACAATCATGGACTAAACCTCTAAACTGTCAGCCAGCCCCAGTTAAATATTTCCCTTTATAAGAGTTGCCTTGGATATGGTGTCTCTTCACAGCAATAGAAACCTTAACTAAGACACTCACTAACTAATTATACATATGTATTTCCATCCAGAAACTCAGCATGCACATCTCCACTAGGAAATAAGGCTGATTCATGGTCTCAGGGCCTCTGAATTTCCCAAATTCTGTCTCAGTGTATGAGGTCATGGCTGTCCCAATAAAAGCTGTTTTTATGTGGTAGTTATTTGAATTTGTACGTGCCTTCCATACCCAAAACAATTTGTAAACACAGATGCAGAATTACATTTTTGTAGAATAATTCCTCTTCCAAACAAGAACCAAGAATTCCTAACACTCAGCATTGTGAAGACTCTCCATGGTTATCATCATTGCTGACTGAGCCTCATTCCTGATTGCACATAGGTGTCCCTAGAGCCTGGTAGGAGAGTCCACCTTCCTACTGGGTTAACTGGAAGAGACTTCAATGAAGGCAGTGTTTACAAAATGTGGGTAGATTTTTAAAGAAATCACAAAGGGTGGCGTAAAATTCTAGGCCTGGGAAGAGGGGCCATCCATACTGGAGACCAACAAGGGTGCTTGAAGAAGGCTGTCATGAGCTCCCATGTGAGAAGTGGCCAGCTATGGCTACCAGGCGGGGGGAAGCTGTGTGTGTGTGTGTGTGTGTGTGTGTGTGTGTGTGTGTGTGTGTGTGTGTATGAAATCAGGATCTCTCTTCTCCCTCTTCCTGTTGTCCCTCCATAGGTACAGCCCTTAGGAAGCCATGTAGCAGCAATGCCCACATTTCATATTAATTACTTTCCCAGAGCGTAGTTCAGGCAGCTCTATGTTGGAGCCCAGAGCTGTACAGTGCAGCACAGATATCCCTATTTATTGTCCTGGGAAATTATTATTCTCCTCTTGCAGGCTATGGGATTTTAACCAGTCTCCACTCTGTTGACAAATTGGCTGGGCAGCAATGTGTGGAAGCCCACTGGGTGGCTTCTGTTTACCTACCTTGCCAGTGTCCATCATCTCAGATGAAAGCTTTGTACGTGTGCTTGTACAGAGCTTACACAGGGTGGAGGAGGTGTGGGATGCTGAGCTTCCGTGAAAAGAGCTTTCTTCCCGATGCTTAGCACTTGCCAGCACACCATGAAGGGAAGGCATCTACATCCCCCAGAATCTGCAAGAAATACTACATAGACTTAGCCTGCAGTCCACCTCATTTCTTTCTGGTAGATTATTCTCCCACCTTCACTGCTCAGTCTGGGGATGCCTATCTGGCCCTCATCAGCAACAGTCAATTGTTATTTAGCAAAGGCCTTTATGGGTCCAGCTCTTAGGCAGGCCTTGCCAGTTATAGTACAGACGATAGGACTTAGGAAACACATGACCTAAATTATATTCTGAGATGTTGCATTTGCTTGTTAATTTCTCAGTCTTGGATGGAAGATGTCATCTATTTTTTTTTTTTTTCTGAAATGAAGAGATAGAGAATTAAAGAACAATCTTGTAAGCTGACCATTTTTGTTAGTTTTTGTTGGTTTGGAGGCAACATCGAGCACTGACTTGCTAAACATGATGCATACACTTTCAAAAAAAAAAAAAAAAGTACTTCTGCAGAAGTTCTGTCACCCGCTACCGAGCAGGGTGTCTGCCATCTGCCTGTGACTTTGGTGCCACAGCTAAAACTCAGCAAGTGGAGACAAACTGCAAAAGATAGACTTCCCCCTCTCCGTGGGGGAAGGGGAGGGATCTAGAGCAGATTCCCATGTCTTTGGAGGTAGGCAGGGGAGAGGCACATGAAGAGGGGTGGGAGGGTGGAGAGTAGGATTGAGGATCACAGACCTGGGGGAGGTTCAGGGTGCTGGGGAAGAAGCTCTTAGCTAATTGTAGGACAACTTAGCTTTACAGGGAGTTGCTTCATTGCTATTTAGCAATGTGGGCCAAAACGTCCCGGTCTTTAGAGTTCCTTTTAAAAAGCAAGAATTTGACATTGACAGCTTTCTCTGCCCTCCTGTCTTGTTTTCTGTCTCTTCTTCTTCTTCATCATCATCATCATCATCTTCTTCTTCATCTTCACCTTCTTTTTGGAGACAGGGTCTCATGTAGCCCAGGTGTCCTCAAAAACCAGGCAAAGCAAGGAGTAATCGAAGTCTGATTAAATAGCTTTACTGTGTATTTGAGGGTGGTGTTGAACTTCAAGTCCTCCAGATCCCACCTCCTGAGGATTATCAGTATGTGCCACCGTACTCAGTTATGCTTTGCTGGGGGTCAAATCCAGGGTTTCCTGTGCACTAAGCAAACACTCCACCAACTGAACTATATTCTCATCCCTAGCTCCTCATTTCTCAAGGACACATTAAAAACAAAAACTCCGTGCACTAAGTAAGGTGCATTAAAATAGCAATTGAACGAAGTTAAAAAAAAAAAAAACAACAGTAAATAAAATCTCATTCTTAAGAGTCAGAGATCTCAGCCTGGTCTACAAAGTGAGTTCCAGGACACCCAGGGCTATAGAGAGAAACCCTGTCTAGAAAAATAAAATTGAAAAAGAAAAAGGAGTCAGAGATCTAAGCACGGAAACCCATCACTCAACAAGATACTCATTGTATGAAACTGTCTTTAGTACTAAAGCGCAAACTTCGCCTCCCAGGACTAAGGACAAATGGCTGGAGGTCACAAACACCACTCTCCACAAGCTAACTTTTCTCAGAGATACTTCTTCAGACTCAAACTTCACTTTTTCCTCCTTTGTACCTAGAATTTATAAAGAACACAGATACTGTTTACACATTTGTTTTTAATCTATTTTCAAAATTCAGAGTGAAAGTAAGAAAAAAAAAAACCCTGCCTCTAATTTGCTGAAGCTTTTGGGGGCGGGGTGATCTCTTTTTCATCAGTCCTTGCACAAGCCATTTTATTAATAATTTATCACAATGTTCCATAGCAGAGATAAAGCAGCCGCCTACATGATCATTTTGTGTTCATAATGTGGGCTTGGTCGTGCCTTTAATTTCCCTGCACCTGCTGGCACCTGCTCCCTCCCCTCTTTCGAAGGTTTGTGTTTTTTTGTTCTGGTGCCTGCACAGCTTTTAGCTTCACGTGGCATGCTGCCTGGGTAGGCTGCTCTTGGTTAGGCAGAGAAGATGGGTACCACCCTCCATGACCTCGTTTCCACCCATCCTTCATTTTCAACTTTCTTTTCACAAAATCTTGCACATGATTGGGGTTGGGGGTAGTTCCTGGGCCACAGCCGAATCAGGAACCTCGGTGATCATATTGGTTCAGCCTCTGCTTGAGTTGCATTAAGGCTGTGTTCTGGGGTAGAGGGTCCCATGTGACTCAGTGGCAGGTTTCGTCTTCTAGTCTTAAGCAGGGAAGCAGATGATCCTTCACTAGACTGATGCATCTATGGGATGTCCTCCAAGTCATCCATTTACTGTTCAAAGGCCAGAGAGCATACTGGATATAGGATGTAGGAAATCTGTGATGCTCCCGTGTCTATCCCGATGAGGGATGCTGTCTACATCTGTCCTGTGCAGGAAGGATACAACCTCAGCTTATTGCTCAGCCTCTTTAGGGAGGACTTTTCCCTGAGTGAGCTAAGAGAAGTTGGTTCTCTTAGAAATGGCCTATATGGTGCACTTGGTGGCATCTTGTTAAGGGAACCTGGAGAACTAGGGATTTTTTCATCTTGAAAACACAGATCTGGGAAGAGAAGACTTAGGGCCTGGTTGTTCAGGAGGGAGCTGGAGTTGGCATCCAAACCTTTCTAAGAGAACTACCTGCCATCAGAAGGAAACATAAAAGTGAGTTTAAAAGATTCTCTCTTGCCTGCTTTTCTCTCCTCTTCATCTTTTATTTTGGCTCTATACTGTAAAAAGTTTCTACTGCAGCCAGTCTTTGGGCAAACCAAAGACCATAGCAAAATTGGCTTTTCTCAAGGCCTATGAACCTTATGGCCATGCAGACCTTGGAAAAGGGGGATGAGTGGAAAAGTTAGGAAGGCTGCATGCCTGGGGGATCTTATGAAGAAGAAAGATTTAGAAAAGAATAAACAATTGCAGAAGCCGAAACAAATGAAAAAAAAAATGCTTATTGCCTCTAAGGTACCAGCTTTCCCCCCGGGCATTGCCATTTATTTTTGGAAAATAGATTTTTTTTTTCTCACATGATCTTTCATTAGCACTTACTTGATATCAGTTACGTAACACTTAGTCTCTGGTATTATTAGGTAGAAAGGGAAGAATTGAGATACAAGGGGCTGGGCGTGATAGTGCAAGCCTTTAATTCCAGCACACATGGGAGGCAGAGGCAGGTGGATCTCTGTGAGTTTGAGGCCAGCCTGGTCTACAAAGAGAGTTCCAGGACAGCCAGAGCTGTTACTCAGAGAAACCGTGTCTCAAAAAACCAAAAACCAAAACCAAACCAAAACAACAACAATAAAAAGAAAGAAAGAAAGAAAGAAAGAAAGAAAGAAAGAAAGAAAGAAAAGAAAGAAAGAAAGAAAAGGAAAAGAAGAGAGCTAGAACAAGGATTGGAATGGTAGAATTTGGACAGTAGATAAACTGAAGATCATAGAGGTAGAGGTGTGTCTCTGGAAACATCTATCCTGCTGTATTCCACTCTATGGGGCTGTCCGTGGAGAAGGAGTTGTATAGGACAGAGAAGTGGTCTAACCTGGGCAAGAAAGGCAGCTGAAGCCATAGGTCAGTCTTCCCTTTACAGCAGAGAGATTTTAAGTGTTTTCCACAGAAACTACCACCATGGGAGTGAGTCAGACTCAATCCATGCCTGCTATTTCCTGCCTGCCCTTGGGCAACTCACCTCTGCCTCATTAGCCTCATGTGTAAAATGGGACCATGGACTCCAGGCATCCCAGTATGTAGTTCTGAGGTTTAGCCTGTTTATAGCGCTTAGGGCAATGTCTGATGAATGCTGTTAGATTGTACATCTATGTCAGCAATTAATTCACTCACATTGTATATGGATATACATGTATGCATACATAAAATGAGTGTGTGGTCAATTTGAACTGTTCAGGAAACATGACAGAAGGATATAAATTTCTTGAAAATGAATGTGGAAAAAAAAATGCCATATAGCAAGGAATGCGGGCCTGCTTCCATTTGCCATGTGTGTGGATCAATATGACTTAAGTGTTCCTTTTTACCTTTGAATGACGGTGGTTCCGTACCAGGACAAACACGCCACTTCCTGAGGCCTTCTCAAGAAGGGCTGACTGCTAAGGCTGCACCTTAGGCTAGGGATTCAGAAAAACATCCAACTACACAACCTGCCCCCTCACCGGGGTTGTTCACGCTCTCTCCAGGGTCTCTATTTGCTTTGGTGTCACCAAGGCAAAGTCCTGAGTCAGCCTGGATGGAATTCTGACTGGAACCTCGCTTAGGCTAATTGGGTAGTGTTCTGACTTGGAAAACACATTGTTCACGGTTCTGTGTTTGTTTCCAGAGGAGTCCCAGGAAGGGACTAAGACTCATAAATATGACTAGTTATCTGTTTGTGATTCATGTGGCAAAACTAGGAAGCGAAGAGCTGAAGTCAGGCAAGCCTCTTGAGGTCTCAGGATCCTGGTTGCCCCCAGCATGTAGGAAATGTCTTCCTGTTGACTCACAGCTCTGCACAACTTTTATGGGCTCTTGTGGCTGTTTTACTGGGGCGCCTCCCACCTCTGCTCCATGCCAGGGCTGGCCATTCACCCTGTTTTCAGCTCCATTTATCAACCTATAACTAATGAGCGTAAATATTGACTTATGGATGTGTTGGTATTGTGAGATTTCAGCCATGTAAAATGATACACTTGAAAAGCATGCAGAAAATATTGCCATGTTCCAGTACTTGAACAAGACCAGTGTTCAGCGGAAGAGAACGGTGTGGACAAACAGCCCAGGTTAAGTGCACCTGCTACCTGAACCAGCTGCTCCATTAAGAGATGTGTTTTTAAAGGCTGAGTCTAAGTGGCTTAAGTGTCCATTGATCCATCCGGGCATCTAGGGAAATGGCTGTGTGACCTGGTTTTGGAACGCCTCTAATTCTGCTAGGCCAGCTATGTATCCCTGATAGATTGGGCTGACCTCTAACTCCCTCTAACTCCCGTACCTCAGTGTCCTTACCTGAGTGAGGGTGGCGAAACCTTTTTTGGAAGGGTTGTCAAGACCAAATACCATACACAAGGAACTTCTGTGGTGCTTGGCTGAGGAGCACAGCCAGCATGCACGGAGAGCTCTCAGAAGGAGTGAATGCCACCTTCGCCACTTAAGGTGATGCGCAGCAGTGAACCTGATAGGGCAGATCTGGAGGCAAGTTTTCTGACTGATCTTCCAGTCTTTCCAGAGGAAGATGAAGTTGCTTCGTTTCAATCTTCTCAATCCTCTAGAGACTGGGAGTTTTCGGCTTTCTGTTGTCATTTTTCTTTTCAGAAGTTCACAGCCTCATGCACTGTAGGGAAAAACCTCATTTTATCAACAAGTTTCTCAAAAGTTTGCTTGCCTGAAGTCTTTTTGAAATTAAAAGTAATATTTTTTTTTTTTCCCAATAGAAACAGTGATGCACCTGGTCGAGTCCCCCCCCCAGGCCGAGCCCAGTGACAGAGCCGAATTGAGTTCACATTTAGTAGCCACTGTCTGAGGCCCCGCCGGTGAGTTATTCCACTCTTCCATCGCTGCAGACACCTGTTCCGGCCTCAGAGCACCTCCCACTTCTTATGCTTAGAGATCTGTAGCTCTCTTCGCTTTTGGGGGATGACCCTGATTGGATGACCAGAGATGACTCCGATGTAGGATCCCTAACCTTCCCTTCCGCCATGATGGTGCTTCCCCACCCCCACCCCCCACCCCACCCCCTCTCCATCATCCTACCTGACATAGGGCACACAGATGCCTGGAAAGCTTTCTCTGCCTCTACCTCCCCTCCTTTTAACTTCTGCAGGAGAAGTTAGTGCAGCCCCTTCTTCCGGGTTCTATTACATCATAGACCCTTTTACTTTGCATTCGTCGCGTTGATTTGGACCAACTGGAGGGCAGCCCAACATCTCTCCTGTAGCTAGAGACTTGGGTTGGATTTTCCTGGGTATATAATTTTGTTCTCACTCTGTTGGGTAGCCCTTGCCTCTGTCTACCTCTTCCTTTACTTACATACTGATTTGTTTTAGTATACCACGGCCTAGGGTAAGTATAAACAATTACAACATGATAACAATAATAGATTTTTTTTCCCCTTGGTGTTCATTTTGGTTCTTTGAGGCAAGATTTCAGCGTACAGCCCAGGCTGCTCTTAAAATTGAGATCCCCCTGCCCCCTGAGTGCTGGGAATTATAGGCATGTGCTACCACATCCAGCTAATAATGAACATTTCAAAGTTGCTGGAGACTATCAATTTTCTAAATTGATCCTCTCCCCCTCCCTCTTCCCTCATCCCTTCATGGAATGAATTTCTTCAGCAAACTGAGAGTGGGAAACATCGGACAAATGATTAAACTGAGGCATAGAGTAGCTAGCGATTCACCCCAGGTCACAGCCCATAAGTAGACTGAAGGTTAATCTCCGCAGGGCCACGTTGCGAAGTCTTGTGTGCGCATAACTGAGTGAGTACATAGAGATGTCAGCTACACTCTCAAGGAAAAAACAAAGGCATTGCACAACTACTCTCATTTTATGGAAGGAGGTGGAGCAATGACCATGGAGACAGAGAATTGCTTCCTAGTACAGAGATGCAGCCCCCTGAAAGTGGCACCAGGTCCTTTTTCTCAATTAAAAAGTATCAGCGATGTGGGCCTGCATTTCATGGCTATGATGGGCTCTTGAAGCACCAGGGCTCTGTGCCAGTCTTTGGCTAAGGTCAGTAGGGAGGGTGTTGCCCTTGGAGAAGGTCTAGAGATGCTTGCTAACCTGCTGCCTCTGGTCCAGCTGGTTGGTGATGCCATCAGCCTGGGGCCAGCGAGGCCTCTGGTTGGCTTCCTCCATCAGTCTTGTCTGTCCTCTGGTCCCTGCACAATCTGCTTCTCTCTGTTTTTCATGCTAGGCTGCCGTACTGCTTGAGAAAGCCAGAAGGTAGCTAGTGATCCTGGTACTCCAAATAGGTCACTCCTCCCCATTCTTGCCCGTCTTGTCTCCCTGTTTCCTTCCTTATCTGTCACACTGGGCTGTCTTTTCCACAAGACTGGGAACTCCTGGGCGCAGCACGGTGCACCCTTTCCATTGTGTGCCCTGTGCACCAAGGGAACATCAATTTTTGGCACTCAGTATAAGCTTGTGCTTGGCAAATGAATGGATTAGTGATTCGGCCCTGGAAAATCTGTCTCAATCTTCACAGACTTGCCCCCTCACCCTTTGTCCCTCTCCCCTCCCCATCTCCCCTTCCCACTCTCCCTTCCTTCTCTGCTTATATAAAGTATAAAGCCTAAGTCAACTCTCCTCCATTGCTGAGAAATGGATGATCAGCTCATGTATGGTTACGAAACAAAAAGTGATGGGTCTTTTAGCTGAACAGGCTTGGATTCAAATCCTTCCTAGCCGTGGTTTAATGCCTCTAGTTCTTTGTTCTCCTATCCATGAAATAGGTATAACATGTCTCTCAGGGGGTTGATAGGGATTTCGGTGACAATTCAAGTTGAATAGCTTATATCCAAAATCACTGGGATCAGAAATGTTTCATACTTATTTGCATGTGCATATGAAATGTCTTGGCAATAGGACATACCTCTAAACATGAAATTCACTTGTGTTTCATATATACCTTCTACACATAGCCTGAAGGTCCTATTAAATACTGCTTTCAGTGCACCTGTGTTTAGATCGCAACCTGTCACGTGAAGTCATGTGCGGAATGTTCTACTTGCAGAGTCATATCAGGGCTCAAAAACTTCTAGCTCCTGGCACATTTTGGATGAAGAAAGTTCAGCCCACATCTGTGTTGTATCCTCATGATGCTGTGTACAGCAGGGCTAATAGGTTGCAGCTGCTCTTCTGATCAGTCACTGGTTGCTTCTGATGAGTTTCCGCTGGCCTTCAAGCCTCTCATTTTCTGGAATTTTTCTTCTAATCCATGGTAGGACAAAGGACCAGAAGTGTCCCAAGGAAAAGATTTGCTCCTCGAGAAGATACCTGCCCCCCTTTCAAAGTCAAACTGCTCCCCTCAGTACAGCTGCACAGACATCTCAGTGTGTCTCCCTTGGAGTCCGCAAATAGCTGGGATCTAAAGATGGTGTGTGGGGTTTTACCTTCACTTTACTTATACCACATGTCATTTCAATGTGGGTGTGTCGAGGGATGCTCTTGTTGACAGTTAGTTTTTCATGCATTTGTGCTGCTCCGATACTGCAATTTCAAGTCCCGATGGGCAGGGGTCCTTGTGGCCCTCAGCGTACCTCGCATGGTGCTTGGTCAGTGGGGTAGAAGAGGTGATTGACAGATGCCTTGTGATGACGATACTCCTACATCCTTTAGATGCTTTCAAGCTATGCTGTCCTTAAAACAGAAGGGTCCAGAGGAGGAGAAAACAGTATAGCGCACATATATATTTCTCCCATATTATAACAGTGGAAAAGGGATCCAAAGATTCAACCAGGGAAAATCAAAGCAGTTGACTAGCCAGAATGAGGTGATAATATAACTTTGCTCATGATTAACAGAATGGAATTGCTAGGGCTGGGGAGACAGTTCAGTGGTGAAGAGCACATAGTCCTCCTGTGGAGGACCTAAGTTCAGTTCCCAGCACCCACGTCAGATAGCTCAGTCATCTGCATCTCCAGTTCCCGGGGATCCAACACCCTCTTCTGGCCTCTGTGGGCTTTGGACAACCCATGCACAGGACATACATATACACATAATTAAAAATAGTAAAAATAAAATCTTTAAAAATGGAAATTTTAAAACAGCATGAAACTAATATGTTTTTAAGCTCTGATTTTATTTGTTAGAACAATGGCTAATAAATCTGTCCTATAATGTCAATAAAAGCAGAGAGTGCTTTTTTTTTTTCAGGGAAAATGTATTTTTTTTTGTCCCTACTTTCTGCCTCCTTATCCTACTCCGTATTTGTTATTATTGGTTGCAGAAAAAACAGATCTTTTCCTATGATTTTGATCTCCTTTCTCATTTACGCTTGGAATTCAATGCAGTTCCATCCCAAGGCAAGTCAGCCTCCAAATGCTGTAAACACAACACAGAAACACAAGTAACCATCACTAAACACTTCTTCATCATGACCTCAATTTCTTACCGGATGCAAACTCCCTCCACTGCTGTGGCGAAAGTTCTCGGCAACTGAGGCTTCACATTCCATTCCAGAATGAACGAGACAGAATGTTTGCTTTTATAGGAAAAAAAAAAAGTATCCAACAAATTAGTCATATCTCTGACCAGATGGACAGAATGTTCCATGGTCTATAAATTAGATTATGACACTTATGGGCTAGCACCTATTCTGTGAGGTGAGTCACTTGATGAGGCAGTTGCCCAGCTGTCTGTGTCAAACTCGGGAAACTAAGATGGAATGGGGTTGGTATTTTCTTGTGACGCTATCAATTCTGGTGATAGGAAGGCGGCGCAGGAAGGTGGCCCTGAGAAAAAGTGATTAAAGTTTACTGCGGAGACCAAGGAATATCCTGCAGGGGTGATGCTGGTGAGCGGGAGAAGGGGAAGAAACCAGGCTGGCTTGCACACCCAGTTCCTGTATTGATAATTCTTCTTCTGACTGGATTGTACAAGTGAAAGGTGATGCAAAATGGATGTGTGAAGTTGCGGAGGGTTGATAATCGACATTTAATATCCCCCAGGGAAATAGTTTCAGAAGACAATTTTCATGGTAGGGAATGGCCATTTTTATTGAACTACAAAGTAGAACTTACGAAAAATAAAAGACCTTGATAATTATTATAGATAATAGCTGTTTATTTGCTTGGAGACTCCAGCAAGTGAGTTTGTGAATACATATGTGTGGGAAGGAATTCCTAAGAAGCAGAAAGGACACGCTGATGGCTGGGCAGACAGCTGGAGTGTGCTGAGATGTGACACTGTTTACTGGACACTCTGCCCTCACCGTGGACGCAGACAGTTCCCCGTTCATACTGTGTGACATTCTTACAAGCCTCTTTGTGAGCTGGAGTCAATTCATTCATTCACATCATTTGCCCTTTCATTTAAAAGTCTACCATGTAAAAGGCACAATTCTGTCCTTTTCTAATTCCAAGATGCATTCAGTTCAGGGCAGGAGAGTGACTAATTCAGTCTGGGGTGGGAGAGGGAGAAGAGATGTGTATAAATTGGTAAGAATTCCATGATAATAAATACATAAATATATAAAAGACTGGAGAGTCAGTGAGGGGTGCTCCCTGTCCTTAAACAAAGGTAGACTTGTTTGCCATTTGACTAACAGGATCTTGAATTTGGGGTGAAAAAATGCATTAATGGTTAGTACTTTAATTAATTAATTG